ATAAGGTCAAGTAATTAAGGCCAAGTAATGTTAGGATGACTGGCACGGCCAGGGCTTTCTCAGAGTTTGGTTTTTTTGTTTTTTTTTTTTTTTCCATTTCTTTAGTCCTTGAATATGTGGAAGTCCTGAGCATAGATGCCAACTGCGTTATATTTTTCCATCAACGGTTTTATCTTGGCGAGAAATGTCAGCTTGCTTTCCGTTGTTCTGGAACTGCTTGACTTCATCGTATTTGAAACGTCTGAAACAGAAATGAGGGTGGGCAGCTCGGAATGGAGAGTTTAGGCGCGGCGCTGCAGGACCGCAGTGTAGTAATGAATCCTGTAATCTATCCCGCAGCGGTGCCGGTATTGAACCCCTGAGCCACTATTTTTAACGTCATCTCAGGGTGCGCTCTGGGGTGGCATCTTAGCACGGGGCTTTGGCCTTCGATAATCCTTGCTGTCCCTTCCAGCTGAAGCTTTTTCCTGATTTGCTAAGATTTGGTTTTTTATATTATATTATATATATATATATATATTAGTCCTAGCTTGTTGTGGGTTTTGTAATGGAAATTTCTGAATATGCAAATGAGAAGAGCAAATAATAGTCTTTTCGTATAATTGGAAGTAGTTCTTTCAACGTGTCCTGTTGTACAACAACTTTTGCTAGTTCAGAACGTAGGACGTACATATATAGTCTCTTGGTAGCAGAGCTAATGTCTTGTAGTTTTCAATAATCAAGAGGCAGGGTGTTAGTTGCAGCTGGGACTGAATGTTTATTTTTTTTTAAAGCTCCCGGTCTGATGCTCCATTTGGGTTGTAGGAGGAAAACAGTGGTGCTGATTCAGTAATGTTTACAGTTGCTGCTCGGTAGTATTGTTCAGAGCCAGGGCCCCTTTCTCAGCGACGAGCCCGAGGGGCTGGGAGGGGACAGAATGGGGACAGCCGACTTAAACTGGCCATAGGGTTCCATGTCGTGCAGCAAGATTTTGGAAGGGGTGAGAGTTCACCTGAGTCTGTCGCTTTGTGGGTATTCAGCTGTGTATGGTTGGGTTGGTGCCGTGAGCAATTAGCGGATTAGCATTCATTCCATACAGCTGCATGCATTCACATATACTGTTGGAAGTAGTCACCTTCTCTTTATCTGTGTGAATACTGCTATCTCGACCCATTAGTTTTTTTTTGGTTGAGAGAAGAGCAGGGCAGCCTTTGGCCCCCCCGTGGGGTCTAACAGCAGCTGCTATGCCTGCCAATAGTGGCAAACGAGCTTTTATTTGAACAGACACAAAAGCAACTCTTGAAAACACAGAAAGTTTACTGCAGAAGTTGGTAAAACGTGCTAGTGACTTACACGGGAGGTGCTTGTTTCGTGGTGTAGGTATGTCACGGGAATACTTTTTCCTTTAGCCATACAATCAGCTGGCATGCAGAGTCTAAGATGCCTTGTTGCCTAGAATTGGAGGGGCTTTGTTTTGGAAAACTAGTCCTTTATTTTGCATTAGTCTCTAATTAAGTGCAGGTCATTAAAATACACAGGGGGAAAGAGAATGTTCCTCAATAACATTCTGGGAGGAAAACTCTGACAAAATGCCAGCTGTGTATTTTGAAAACACATCATACAGAAGTTATTTCGGTAATATGACACCAAAGAAACTCCACAGCAGAAGGCGGAGAGAAGGAGTTGGAGCACAAAGGCTTTAAGCCTGAGAGTAGTTAGATAGCTGCACCCGAGAGTGGCACATAAGGAATCAAAGATGGAAAATACCAGGAGTGTAGAAATATTGGAGCATTACTGGGGAAACGGGCATTTTTGAAGTAAAACCTATCAAACCCAGCACAACTGCTTCTTGGAAGCTAATTTTATGTTATTATACCTTACATTCACTAAGTAAAAGGCAGAAAGACGCACCAGAGCAAGGCTATGTATTACCACAGCTGTAAAAACAGTTTATTGAGTCAGTGAAGTTATTACAAAGGTGTAAAATCAGCTAAGTGTTACAAAGCAGGGTCTTTTTCCATTTTCTGATAAACATACAGCCATGCCAGAACTGTTTAAAACAAATGCAATAGCACCTGGATGTTATACAGGAAAGGTATCTAAACTACAGCATACTTACTGCTGTACAAGAAAACTGAACAGTATTCATCATTGTTACTAACATCAATGTAACTGGCTCTTACAGTTTAAGTAATCATTTCAACTACATTGAAAAAAACAGTTTACTCAATGACATCATTAAATTACTGCTAGCATATCTCCAAGATTCCCTTTTCTTGAAGCGCTGTCTGACTTAATGCAGTTTTCAAGTCACTGGGAGCGAGGGGGACCGTCAAAGGCCACCTGGTCCAGCTTCCTGGTGCCTATCCCGGTCACCTAGAGGTAGATCGGGTCATTCGGAGCCTTGTCCAGCCTTCCATCAAACTCCTGAAAGAAACAAAGATAGACTTTAGTCTGGTAGCGGCAGTTGTCTCATACTTCATTTAAAAAGGGTAAAATTTAAGTTGGGACATAAATAAACAGTTCTCATTTCACTTCTTCCACCAAAAGGTGGACTTAGTTTCTGGCTATCGCTGCCGCTATTCCCAAATTATGAATGGACTTACTTAAAAGCAAAGGCTGCAGAGAGACAGTTAATTGAGACAGCTACAAGCAGATAGGGCTTGGCCAGCTCAGGCTCGCATACAAACACTCCTCACAAGCCAGACAGGTTCAAGCTGTGCATTTGCTGCAGCATACTCAAGAAAGAGGAGCGATAAAACTTAGTGCCGAGGAAGAGCAACCTGCCACCTCCTTTCCTGCTATTTGAGAGCTAATCATAGGAGGCTGCTCTTTGCAGTTGCAGGAGATTAGAAACTTTAAAAAAGAAAAAAAAAAAAAAAGGTAGAAAGCTTCCTTTAAAAGCATGAAGTTTATTTTTTTTTTTTTTTTTTAAGCTTTATTTTGGTTAAGGGATATAAGGGAGAGAAGGTATTCAGGTATGCGTGCTATCGAAGAACGCTGAGCCCAACCGGCCTTCTTTTGCTTCACACAACAGAAGAAACTCCTAAGATAGACAACATTTTGTTTTTTCTACCCCAGAAGAGAAGTCTGAACTCAGCTGCTCCATCGTGCCAGGAGTCCACCTTTGAATCAGACGCGCTAGAACAGCAAGCAGAGTTGAAATTGCAGCGTCCCCAGCCCAGTTCTCTTCCCCAGGCAACGCGGGTAAGTGAGAATCTTACTTCTAAAGGATAAAGCAGAGTTTGTACCTTAGTGAGCTTCATTCAAGTGAGCTTTTCTTTCGGGTTCTCATCGAGATTCTTTTTGACAGCAGCACTGCTCTCTAGCTGTTCACCTCACCTTTTGATTTCACTTCTTTTATTTCCTACAGAATATTTCAGAGTAGGGCATCCATTTGGAAATAAGTAGACAGCAGCATGAAACACCCAGGGTGAACAAACTTCATTAACATTATTAAGCAGTCCAAGTGGCCAGTTTTTTTTTTCCTGCAAGCCATTTCCTGTCACAGGATGTGACCACAGTAGCACTACAGGATTTTGGCAGCTGAAGTCACAGCTCTTGGGCAAAAGCCGCATTCAAATATCATCGCAGAAAAGAACACTGCAAGAAGTTATTTGCAAGGGAAGAAGTACTGAATTACAATATTATTAATCTATGTAATGTAATACAGCAGCAGCCGCACAAAGAGCAGAAGTATCAAGCCACTCACTAACTGGACGCATTCGCTGCTTCCCATCTCCATCTTCTCTTAGAGGTTTAGGAATTCTTGCTGCCACACACATTACGAGCACCACTTGGGCTGCTCCCACCAATTGCTATTTAATAGCAAGCATCTTCCAATGCAGCCACCTTATTTCTTTCCGTTAATTCAGTTTAAGGGAGCACAAAATATAGCAGAGTCAGAGTTCATTTTGCAAGGGTGAATGGCAATCCTTTTGCACACGCCTCTTGACATATAAGTGCCTTTTTTTTGTCACCTGCAACAGCTCCTTTGGACCTGTCTTATGCTAGTGAGCAGTCTCTTCAACGGCTGTCTGGAAAACTAGGTACGCAGTCACAAGAATCCATTTAAGGTGTGTTGCTTAGCAAGAGCAGTTTTTCTTCCCTGTAAGTTTTAAGATAACTTAGCAGCATCTCTTTGCTGTCATCCACAAATACAATGAAGTTAACCTGCAAGCCCACAGGAAAGTAAGTTACATAGAGCAGTTCCAGCAGCAAGTCTTCGTTTCCTTTTCCTTCAGAGCTATTGGTGCCACCTATTTGCACCTACATCTAAGTACACATCATCTGGCACATATCTGTTAGTAGAAGGTACGCAATCTGAGAAGCATTTGTTTTACTTTTTTTCCTTTGTGCTTGCAGGACTCGGAGTATTTCCCCAAAAAAGAAAAACAAGCAGAGAACAACCAAGCAGCCAGCTTCCTCCGCTTCTGAAGCACTACTCGAGGCCCTGCCACGTGTACTGAGCCGGCTTCACCAGGAATCCAAGGACAGCAAGCTGCCACCAAGCCACCTCCAGCATCAGAACTGCCAACGCTGAGCTCTTCGCCTCCTGGGATCCCTGTGTAAGAGGTAAGGTCCCTACAGCCAGTGGCATTCCCAGACAGCTAGGATTTACAAGACATTCATTTTTGCTTTTCCAGCCTAAGTCCAGCTTAGCAGGGCTATTCCCAGCAGCTGTAGCCGAGGCTTCAGCTATCATAGTTAAGTGGGGAGCCCCTCTGAGAAGTTAGCTGCAGTTAAGATGTCATTTTGGGATTCGAGTACCCGAGCAACTTGAGGTAGCACTTTAGTCAAATAGCCTGGCTGCCAGAGGGGTATCACAATGTAGCTAACATTGTGGCTCAAACCTAGAAATACCAACTGTTTGAGATGCTAAGCCCACATCAACGCTATTGTTTGAGATGCTAAGCCCACATTATCGCTATTGCTCCTCTAAGCTTAACAGCTGACCCCTGTTTCCACCTCAAAATTAACATCTCTCCTCATTCTAGCAAGTAGCATAGATTACCACAGCAGAATCCTCAGAGCAGGGAACAAGCACCTCTGGCTAAGCAACCCATGTGGGAAAAGCCTCATGTTCTATTGATCCCAGTGACTTTAAGGTGAAGATGCTTGTTGTTGCAGAATACTCATCGTGCACCCAGGAGGAACGCTCAGCTGCCTGTTGCAGGAGGATTTCACAGCCATCCACACCAGCAAAGATTTTTTTTCCAAGGCACCTATCTGCTCTTCAGCAAAGCACAGACCCCAGTTTATTCAAGTCCTGCCTCCTCTCTTTGAGCCTGCGACCAAGACCACTCCTGGACCACAGTGTACGCTACCAGGGCCCACTCCAAGAACCCAGCTACACTCAGTCACCCCAGCGAGTCCCCCAGAACCAGGGCATTCCCCAAAGCTAAGGGGAATGCCCATCTCAGTACCCCCCCCAAAGGGGCAGGGGGGGCAGCAGGGCCTACTTGGCCCCAGAGGGGTGGCAGGGAGATAGGGGAGGGCACGGGGCCCTTTGGGGCCTCCTCAGCCCCAAAGGGGCAGGGAGGATGGGAGGGAGATAGGGGAGGGCACGGGGCCCTTTGGGGCCTCCTCAGCCCCAAAGGGGCAGGGAGGATGGGAGGGAGATAGGGGAGGGCACGGGGCCGGGAGGGCGGGAGAGGGCGGGAGAGGGCGGGAGGGCGGCAGGGGCTCCTCAGCCCCTGCCGCCACGGGGGCGCTCCCGCGCGGCCAGCCTCTCGAAAAACAGACAGCAGAACCCACCCTCCCCCCAAAAATAAAAAAAAAATATCTCTTTAGAGATAGTGCAAATTTCGCGGTCTAGCATTCAAAAAAAATTGAACAAACACCCCCCCCCAAAACCAAACAAAACCGACCAGGAAAAAACACCCAAATCACTGCACTTAGTGAAATGCCAAACAAAAACAAGCTTCAAAAAACACCAAAATAAAAAACACTACTAAAGAAAAAAACAATTCACCAAGTCCACAACAAACAAACCAAAAAAAGCCACATTAAATCTACAAGTAACTCCATAAAACAAAAAATAAAATCACACTATTCACTTAATGCAAAACCAAACATAACCAAGTTACAACAAGGAAATCCATAAAAAAAAAAACAAAGCAACTTAAGCAACTCTACTTAAAAAATACACAAAACAATTCACCAAGTCCAAAACAACCAAGCCAAAAAAAAGAAAACATTAAATCTACAAGTAACTCCATAAAAAACAAACTAGTCACTTAGTGCAAAACCAAACATAACCAACTTACAACAAGAAAATCCATAAAAAAGCACACCAACTTAAGCAACACTCCACTAAAAAAAATACCCAAAAACAATTCACCAATGCCAAACATCAAGCTACAACATTAAGCAACTCCATAAGAAAAAATTATCAAGCAAGACTCTACTATAATTATCTAAATCAATTCACTTACTCCAATACCCAACATAACTAATCTACAACAATGAACTCCATAAAAAAAACTAACACAGCAAAACAACTCAAACAAGACTCCACTAAAAATAACAAGTCAACTCATTTAGTCCAACACCAAACATAACTAAACTACAACATCAAGCAACACCAGACAAAACACTTCCTGAAAGGATTCTGCCAACCACATCCAAGAGCCCCAGGAAAACAACATGAAATCACATCACCCAATGCCAAACCTAGTAACCTCAAACTCTTAAACTTAAAGTCAACAGCAGACACAAGCCTCAAAAATCATAGCGACTAATTCTTATACCATCAACAGCACTTCTACCAAACCAAGCACAGCCATTACCTCACTCAATTAAAAAAAAAAAAAAGCCATAACCACCTACTTCAAAGACACACAGGCAAGAAAGCTTAAAAACCAAAACGAAACCACTACTGTGCATATAAGCACCCAACTTAATCCCTAAAGCAGAGTTCACAACAATAACAGCCTCAGCCTAGACTCGCTTCCAAAGACGGCAAGCCATTGCCCCAGACAACGAGGAGATAGATCTGACTAACCAACATCAGCCTTACTGCACAATCAGTAATTCAAACGCACGAAAAACAAACCCAGTAGAACAAAATAATTGTACGCACTTACCGGGCAATCCAGACTCCTGGTGAGAGGACAGACGCGGCACACAGTCCAGCCAACACCCATCGCAGGTACCGCTAATGCCGCCAGAAGATGAAAGGAAGCCAACCAAACTGAGTCGATGCTGCTCGATAGACCCGGGAAAGGGCCACGTTCTGTCACGTCTCAAAAACCACCAACACCAGGCACGCTCACCGCAGGAAGGAGGGTCAGCCCGCTCCATCGGCGGTCGCTTCAACCTGCACCTTCCTAAGCGCGGTCCTGCTTCGTCGCTGCAGCTTCCGGCATCGACCGCACCGGGACCTGCAAAGGAAGACGCCGGGGAACGTCGGGACCAGCGATTCCCACCAGGAGGGCTGTACGAGCAGCGCTCCTCGTGCGACTCCCGGCGTCAGCCCCTTTCCTCCGGGGAACCTCCGCCGCACGCTGCCGGGGCAGGAAACGCGCCCTCCCGAGGGAGGACGGCGCTTCCTCCCCGTTGCGGCCCTCGCCTGGCAAAGAAAGAAAAAACAAGATCAAGTGAAACAAAGCAATTTCTCACGCGTTCGTCTCCTTCCAACTGCCCCCTGTAGTGCTTCTCGCCGGCCCCGGAAGGATGAGCGGGAGTACAAAGGCCGTGCCCCGTTCTCTCACCCCCAGTGCGGCAAGCAGGAGGGGCTCAGAAAAAAAAACAAAAAAACAACAACACAACACATCAACCCGGGCCAGGGGTGGCGCTTGCGGTCTGCACACAGGCACAGCTCACCTCCATCTGTAAGGCCTCCTATGGCTTCACACCGCAATACTCCTCCCTCCGGCCCTGGACCTGTAGGAAGATAAATAGAATTGGTTATGTTAGGACACCCTTAAAAATCATGTACCCACTGCCCCTGCGCTGCGTGTACACAGACGCACTTACATTTAAACGAGGTCACTTAAAGCCCCATCCAGACTCTCTGGGCCTTGTGCTCCCCTGCAGCAAAGTCCTTCTCATGATATGACCTCCCTTCCAGGAGAAAACCGTATAATAAAATACCTTAGATTGCAAAGGACTCCAAGGAGAGTGGAGATCCAACCTACCCATCCGATACTAAGCCACATTGTTCGTCATCCTGCTATTCCGCAGCGCGTTCCTGTGCCTCAGCGCTGAAGAGCTCCCCCTGATGGCCAAACTAACCCTTGAGCTCAAAACTATTTCCCCTTACCCTATTTGTCCTATCTCTGTCTACTCAAGTAAAAAAATTGATTCCCCTCCTTATTGTAAACCCCTTTGAAAACTAAAAGGCTGCAATTAGGTCTCCTTGCTACCTTCTCTTCCCCCGAAGTAGCCCAGCTCCCTCACCCCGTTTTCGTACCAGAGTCTCTCCGGCCCCACCTTCATCTTCACAGCTCCGTGTCCTTCCGCTGCAGGGAACCATAGACCTGCATACAGAATTGAAAATAGGGCCTCACAAGAGCAAAGTGAAGCAAACCCCTCCCTGTCTCTACCCCTCTTATAGCGCAGCCCAGGATACCTTATCGGCCTTTTAAAATGTTAGAAATTCACTTGTTCTGCCAAAACAGACCCTGCAGAACACTCTGCTCTCCTTTCTTACAAGCCCTCCCTTCTCTCACTTAAAAGCTGCTCTCTTAACTTCCTGAAGCCTTCTCCAGAAGGAACAGCCTCAACTCCCACAGCCCACCCTCGTACAATAGGTGATCCATTACCCAGATCACTTTCACAGCCCTAATACAGAGCTACATTAGGCCTCAGGGAGAGGAAAAACTACCCTACTCCAATACCCCCAAGTAGAGAGGTGGGAGCTGAACAGCAACTCAACACTAAACCTGAGAATCAAAGGCAACTCACCATCATCCCTGCAATAGAGCCATAAAGCAGGGTAAGAGCCCAGCAACCTCCTCAGGGCAGACAGGGAGCCCTGGGAGCCCCCTGAGCTTTTCAATCCCCAGCTGCAGACCCTCTGCTAAGGGATGGAGAGCGCATCCCTGAGCCCCCTGCTCTCACAACCCCCACAACCTTACTACTGCTGTAGCTGCTTGAAGGTTTGCGCTGATCCTCGCCGCAAGGGGCTCCGCTGCAGCCCTCGCCCTGCAAAAGAACACAAAAACCAAAAGCTTAGAGTGAAGAACCAGCAGCTTAAAGAGAGAACAACACTAAAGCAGCCTCTCACTATGCTTCTCACCCACAGTTGCACCATGCTTCATACCGTTCACACTCCCCTCGGTGCAAACAGAAGGGCTTGTAGCCCTCACATGTAGCAGGAATGTGCTTCACCTCAGGATATCCAGCAGCAATCCAGTGCAAACTCCTAAAAAGAAAAAAAACAAAACCAAAATAAGAACCAGAAAACAGTACCCCACTTACCCACAAAGTAAGGAAAGCCCAGCAGGAATCCTGCAAAAGTCCCCCCGCTGCAAGCAGACAGAGAGCCCAGCACTCACCCACCACACCAAGGAGCAGCAGGAAATCCTGTGTGGCTCCCAGCAGCCTCCGAAGGGGGTTTTAAAGGGCTGTGGGGCGGGCCCTGCCCAGGGCTTCTAACCAGGTGCACCTGTGCCTGGGCAGCCGGGCCCCTGCTGCACCTGCAAGTCGTTGCGTTGTCAGCACAGGAGGGCCTCGTTAGGGCTGACAGGTTGCTGACAGAGATCGTGGAACCCTTAGGGCCAGCTCAGTGATCGTCCCCATGCACCAGGTGGCCGTGCGTGTCCCTGCGCTGTGAAGGGGGTGCTAGCACACTTAGGATGAATGGTGCGACGCTGCGGATGAACGCTGGAGCCGCGGCCTGGGGGGAGGTGAAAGCTATAGGGCGCTCCTGTGCGCAATTAGAGCTTATTGGATTTTGTTTGAAATCTCTAACTGCCATTCACAAAAATACACGTGTAACACACCATGTGTATTAGTGTTCCCTGTCATCTGCTTTTGTACAACACCCGCCATCTCTCTGACTGTCTTCCGGTGCTCCGATGTCTTCTCAAGTGAAGGCGCTTTATCACAGACACGCACGCAGATGACAAATCGCACTGGCAAATCCATTTCTCATTGCTATGAGCGCAGCGCGAGGTGCGTGCTGTCAGGATTCTATTCTGAGCGCTGCAGGCTCGATTTTCAGGTGGAGAGCATTCAAATAAAGTGCAAAGCTGAGAACTGAAGTGCCTGCTTACCCTCGGGGATGCCACGACAAATCAGGAAAAACCATCTAGTCTGATCACAGTGGTTTCTGCTGTTATGACAGTTATCACACTTAAATTCTGTACGAGCTTTCATCCGGGCACCGCAATGACAACCCTTGGTGCTAGCTGACGTGCTTTTGAGGTACACCTCCCTAATTTCCCGTGCCTCTCTATGACGTGTCAGCCCGCTCCCTCGTGAATCAGAGCATCCAGAGCACAGCTCCGGTTTCTAAGAGACCGCCTGTGTTCCCGAGGCAGTCTCTTGGCAGCGGCAGACAGCGGAGACACTGCGGCCATCCCCACTTGTCTCTGCCTGCATCGGTGGCACTGCGGAGAATAAAGCCGCTCGAGGACACTGATGGATCAGGCAGGAAAACCTTTGCAGAGCTACTTAAATGGGCTTGGGGCCGGTGCATGCTGCCAGCAGGCCACAAAGTGTCTGTAAAACAACAAGTGGGGCGTGTGGAAAGGGTGGTGCTGTGCCTGTCCTTTTGGATCCCGCTAAAAATGTGACCGGTGACACCCATCACCGACCCGACCGGATTCAGACTGAACATGGGCAGTAAAATAATGCGACTGTTCTGCCGAGCCCTTCGCTCGCTTCTGCTCTCTAAGCTCCCGAAGATGACAGTCGGTTAGTTCCTCCTCAGGCAAGCGGTTCATCCGATTCACGGGGCATTTGTCCCTTTCATTCCGAAAAAGATGAACCAGCTGCTGAACAGGCCAGTGTGAAGATACCGAGTGACCGTTTGTGGTAGCAAACAATAACCTTCGGACTGCATGGGAGACGCTGCCCCACACGGCTCTGTCACGTAGCTCCCTCCCTGAAAATAAGCCTCCGTAACACAGCAAACCCCGATCTCGCTCCAGGTTCGCGTGCGGACTGACCCATCCGGTCTCAATAGATGGCAGAAGCCTGCGTAGCCTAACAAAAGGCTTCCTTAGCTGTTTTTTTTTTTAATATATATATGTACTTTTATATGCACTTATGAAACAAAGTATAAACCTGACTGGTCTGGGACCACGGTGACAATGAACGCTTACACAGATGCTACAATGAAATGGCAATTAGCTAGCCTTTGTTCTGTTTGTCGGGTGAAAAATGGATATGACCAACTTACTTTGAATATTTCGCGGTGTTTTTGTGCGCTGTGCTGGCAAGCACCGAATGTGAGCCTTCAGAGTAAAAACAAATTCTCCTCGCTGCATGTTCACTGTAAGCAAAATGCAAAACGTGCATGTAACTGTTCGGTACTGCAGAACTGCCAGCCAGAAACCCTATCATTTAAAGGAGCTAAAGGTGCTTTTTGTAGTTCTTAGTTTAGAGCCTTTCCAGTGACACCTGAGGACTCCATCGTGCTATAAGAACGAACTCAGAGGAGATGACTCAGTCCATGCCGAGAAGGAAAGGACCGGGAGGACGCACTGACATGTCACGTTACATTCCAGCTACCTCAATAATGACTGTTTCGTAGACCACAAATATTTCTTACACTTTATTATTGAATGTGAGTGCAAAAAAACCCCAAACACAAGGAAGCGCATAGGCCTGATGATAGCTATTTCCCATACGGTATGTTGTGTGTCACAAAATAAGCCATAGCCTAATGTTTGGGAGCGAGGCTAGCGGGAAGCTGGACGGAAGGAAGAGCGTGACTGTTCAATCGAGGGGACGAACAGCAAGGAAAGATTCATTATCGCAACCAGAGGCACAGCTGCAGCAAGTCAGTCTAGAGTCAGGTCCTTGCCTGTACCTTGTCCCAGATCTAACAACGAGGCAGAACTGTTGGGATGCAAGTATCCACGTGTGCGCATGTACGCACAGATATTCCCTGACAAACAAAGCCTACTGCAAAGACAGTACACCCAACATGTCTGTCTAAGGCAAGCATTCGATTTAGCACGCTGTACCATTCCACTGTATGCGTCTCATTTCAAGCACTGACTTGACGTCATGTGCCATGAGGAAAATGAGGTGCAATCGATCCTATTTCTGCTTTAACGTTGGGGTGATCTTTCAAAAAGAACACAACTCCCTCAACAAAACAACCGAATGCGATACGTCGCAAAGACGATGCCGCATTCGAGAGCTACAGGGAACGCAGCAGTGAACAACTGCGAGCACGGTTTCCGCCACGTCTGGACTGACAGCGTTACTGCCTTGTTCAGGAAATGGAACCATAGCATCACAGAACCACAGAACGGTTTGGGTCGGACCTTTAAGAGCATCTCCTTCCAACCCCCTGCTGCAGGCGAGAACACCTCCCACTGGACCGGGTTGCTCACAGCCCCCTCCGGCCTGGCCTTGAAGGCTTCCAGGTTGGGGGCTCCCACGGCCTCGCTGGGGAACCTGTTCCAGTCAAAAGATAGGTCTGTTTCCCTTTAAAGGCCCTGGCAGCATTTCCAAAAGCACAGGGGGAATGGTCCTCTGCCACGTGCCTGCCGCTGCCCTTAGCTCCGGAGCTTTTATGTACCTAAGAACTATCTTCTAAACCCTGCCCTCGGTTCTGTCCGTGGGGTGACTCCTATATGGCAGCGTGCCTACGATTTAAGGACGGTCTCCTTGAGGAGTCCCCAGAAATGCTTTGAGTGTGCAAGGTCTGCTTTCTCTGCAGGGGTTCCAGTAACACACCGTGAGGGAGGTGCCTTTAAATGGGGAGCACTCGCGGGCGGCCGAAAATAATTCTAAGCCAGCATAAAACTTCTCCTAAACGATTTTAATCCAGCAGAAAACTCGGCTCGTTTCGGATATCGTGTCTGGCGTGCAGGGATCATTGCGAGCACCTCTACGGCGAGATCCCCACTGAGCGGCAGCAAGGCTGCAGAATGATTTCAGTACAGAAAAAGCAGAAAAAGAATCTATCTAATTGAAATCGTGTGGGGAATTTAAGCAGGCAAAATGCAGTTCCTCAAGCTGGAAGATGCTCATTCAAATACTGAAGGCTTGAAAGAAATGTCAGAAATCATACACATCTTCAGGAATGTATTTTCAAATCACAGTTCCACTAAGAATAAACAAGGATAAAACACACAGAGCAGATTCTGTTAGGGAAATGAATTAACTCCAGAGGAAGACAAGCATGGCAAATTTTTATCCCCTTCCACCCCCCCAACCCCCCCTTTTTCCCTTTTCCCTTTTCCCTTTTCCCTTTTCCCTTTTCCCTTTTCCCTTTTCCCTTTTCCTTTCTGCAGCTCTCATAGGCCCTCCTCTGGGCCGTGTCAACACCCTGCTGCGCTACAAGGAGCCGCCTCCAGCACGGCCTGGGCACACGTCAGCCTCTCCGATTCCAACTTTGCGGCCGGGTGGCTGCGCGGAGCTCAGTGAATCCAAACGGGCAGGGAAAGCCAGCAGCAATTCTTTCCCTATCAATGTGGCTTTATAGGCCTCGACGATGACTCTGTTCAGCTGTATGAATGCTTTCATTTGCACTTGCAGAGCAAACTGACAAAAAAAAAAAAACAAAAAAAACAACCCTTTCTATGAATCCCCCCTTCAAGCTCCAAACAGCATTCCTTTTGTGAGAGCATTATGAAGAAAAGAGACTCCGGGACTTCTTTTTTCAAACAGCCAGCGAGACTGTCTGCTGAGCCGCAGCCGTGTGGCAGGGTAAGGGCTTTCCTTTCTGCACGTGAGGTAGGATAGCGAGTGTGACAGAGACGCCCCGAGGACACCGACGTACGTTGAAGGCCTTGTAGCTGCCCTTGTAGCTGCCGGCTTGAAATGTTCATTGCCTGCCATTCTCCTGGAAACCTCCCGCACGACCTGAACGTGCTACAAATGGTCAGGGGGCTTCTTTAGGTGCTTGCAGAAATCGCACAGTGCCGACGGCAAGGCAAATACCGGGACGTGTTGTCTGAAAAAAACACAGACTCATTTTCCTCCCTTTATCACAGTTTATTGTGGATTTTAACAAGAGAAACGTTATCGCCGTTTTAGTGAAAACAAGTGAAAATAGTCTGCGGCAATGCCAGTTGTTAAGTTTCTGGCACTGTGTTTTACCCTTCCCCAACACATACGAAACAATGCAAAGTTACAGTCGGATAAGGTGAAAATACGCATACAAAGCGTTCGGTGCTGTTCACATCGATTCTGTGGGTAGAACGCTATGACTGACAGCCAGGAAGCGCACCGATGCCCGAATGCTCACAATATCTTCAAGGCAGAACCATTAAAACATGCTGTGTGCTCAAGACAAGATTACATACTGAAAGCATCGTTTGTTTCCACGCCTTCTGAACAGCGTGAGAACCCTTATGTACAGGTTGCGAACGCCTCAGAGCGCAACAGATCTGCAGATGTCCGACGTCCCCTTTCACATCGGCGCTGTATCTCCATGGCTGCCTTACCTCAGACCCCAGCCTGACTTCGGAACGCTTCATTCTGTGCGATCTGCTTCGCTCACATCAATTCAAACACAAAAGACAACGACAACAAAAGAGTGTTTGCTGACGCGCTTACTAACACACAAGTTCAGATACTAACATTCCAGTTAAGACGGATCCTTTGGAGAAAAAGCATTCAGGACGTGAGTGAAAAATAAATGGTTCATTTATAGTGCTACACATATAAATTTCAGGTTGCTCCTTGTTAAAAATAAAACAGAAAAAAAACAAAAAACAAAAAACAAAAAAACCCAAACCATTAAGGACGCTAATTTCAACAAGCTGATCGCTGCTGAAAGAGCACCGTAAGCCCGGTCACCTAAGGATCAGAGCAAACACTGAAGTTCCCTTGAACACACGTTGCATTAACAACATTGCAGTCAGAACCGTAGCAGCTTCATTTGGACAGGAATAATATTATCTGCGCAGACACTTTTTAAACACTCTAAGCTTAATAGGCCAAATGCAATGCTTTTCTAAATCTAGAAAAGAGAAGACACATTTTCGCTTGTATGGGTGTAACTTGCACTTCAGTGACACAATTTCCATAGCTCACAACATATGAGCTACTTTGTTTCAGTACTTTGTTTCCAGCCATCACTGGGCTGGCAGCTTCTGACCTGGCCTTCCTATTTCCAGTTTCCAATACGTAAGGCACAACTTCGCGCATCGAAAGGGGCACCCGAAGGAAGGGCCTGTCCTAGGCGTCCTCGTCCCTAAAGCAAGTGACCACGTTGCCTTGTAAAAAGCTGTCTTTTCCAAGATATTTTAAAAGCATTTATCAGCAGGAGCATCCTCTAAAAGCTGCGTCTTGGAAAGCCCCAGTACGCCGTGGATAAATGCACACCTATTTTTATTTCAATTGCAAGTGCTTACACTTACCCTGGCTCGCTCGACTCAAATACGGCACATTTACAAGCCAATCCTCATTGAAGATTTAAATCTTAGTCAGGTCACAAAGGCCTGCACCGACGGCTCTCCCTTAGTCTGATGGTCCAGTCTGCTTTTAAAATGTTTACTTAAAGAGGAAGAACAGGGCCTCGCTTCTCAGTTTGCTAGCAGGCACCCGATACTCCCTCGCGCGTCACAAACCTCGCCACCTGCTGATCTGCTCGTCGAGCTACCTGGCCGTCCCTAAACACTTCTCCTCCTACGTTATCCCAACGCAGGCAGCAACCGAACACATCAGTAAACCCTCTTACTACTTTGTTTAACTCTGTTTTACTACTTTTACTCTGCCACGAGTGACAAAAACGATCTCGGAGAGCCAGAGCTTAACAAGACTTGCTTTGTTAACACTTCATCCGAAAGGTTACTTTCCTGCATTTTTATAGTGGAACTTCAGTAATTCAGAAAGTGGAATAAGGAAGCGCGAGAAAATGAGAGGGGCACATCTACACCAGAAAAAAAACCAAACGACACAGTAAAGTGCCACAGGGACTTGCTATAATTGCTACCAAACCCTTGATCTACGTCGAGATCGTAACCTGGGAGCGTTCGCACAGGGCACGAGGTGGCAGCAACAAATAGTGACACTTAACACCAGCAGGTCACGGCGGGTTTCGGTTCGGGCTTTATGTGTATTTGATCGCGATCTGGGGGTTGACTTAGCATTAATGGCTTGTGACTTTTAAGCTTGTGAGCCAGCGTCATAAATATGGCCTCCACGTGGTCATTGTCATTGGGGTTTTTGGCAGAGGTTTCGAATAACGGCATGCTGTGCGTATCGGCAAACTTCTGAGCCAAGTCCGTGGGTACCTGAATAGCATTTCGCAGGTCGCATTTATTGCCAACAAGAATCCGTGGTATATCGCTGGCAAGGAGGTGTTGTTTGCATTCCTCTATCCACGAGGGCAGACTGTGAAAGCTGGCGATGTTGGTCATATCGTACACAAACACGACCGCGTGGACGTTCCTGTAATAGTGCTGCACCATGCTCTTCCTGAAGCGCTCCTGGCCCGCCGTATCCCATAGCTGGATCTGAAAACACAAGGGTAAACAGAGAGGAAAATGTTTTACGGCTCGCATTCGGAAAATAACACGCGTTACCTACGACTAAGAAAGTCGGGCGATCGCAGCAAATCGCTCTTCGGAACCGATGACGCCGCACAGTTTGTACCAAACAAAACGACTGCTTTTACAGACTTTTCAGAAATCGTTGCTTCCACAACGGTCTGCTCACAATTGAAGCTACGAAGAAATTGCGAGGCGACTTCATAACTAAGAGGCGTTTCGGACGGTTTACGGAAAGCGGTGCGTTGTAAGATCTTTACACAAAGCACTACAAAAATCCTGCCACTGAAGCTTTTCTAAGAAAAAACAAATCTCAGCTGACAGGATTGTTTCCTGCCAAATACGATGGCGTCATCCCCAAAGCGCTGCTCTCAGCATTAAGGTAACGGCCTACTGGGGCAGAGTCCCTAAAAGGAACACCAGCAACCCTGCAAAAACAGCTACAGCAAAATAAACTGCACGAAGCGACAGCTCGGCCTCTGTACTCCGGTCCAGGTATTTCCAGCTTCTGATCCACGGGCCGAGAAAGATCCACGCAGGGCTTCTAAAGGAGTCAGCGAGGTCACAAAGAAAAGCGAAGTGAGGCATCCTAGCCTCTGACCGAAGGCAAACGGCAGCTGCAATTCATCTCTCCGCAGAGCAAATACTCCTTTTGCTGTGCTCTGTTTATAGCCCAATTTCTTCATCTCCGTTGCCTGCCGAGACAGCCCGAGCCACTAGATTCCATACAGTCACTTCTCTTGAAAGAAGATGCCCTCACCTACCGAGCCGAGAGAGAATGCTGGTTCAATGCCCTTGCAGAACGCTGTATAGGCAGGAGACTCATGGAAAGAAAAAAAAAAAACAACTGCAACTTTAAAGTGAAATATAACAAATTTGAGAGAGAAAAAAAAGAACCCAGCGTACAGCTGGGAGACCCCGGCTTATCGTCAGAGGACGTGACGCTCGGGGATCGCTGCATCTAGCCTTCCCAATGGATGGACCAAAGCTAACACAGACCGGCAGCTGGTTTCCACAAGCGGCTGCGGAAGCTGAAGGTACTGTTCTCTCTCTGCCTCGCCCAGAAGCAGAACTTGGTCAGGCTTCAGGGAAGTGCAGATCCCCCCGCAAGTTTATAGCCTGCCTTGGGGACAAAAGAGGAAATTCAATTAAAGCTTTATGAATCTTTCCAGTTCAACTTCACCCATCTTTTTCCTACGTTTTACCTGCATGCAGCTATCTGACCCCAAACGTGCCCTCTCAAATTGGTTTTCCCACCAGTGACAGTTTTACACTTCAGAACTTTCTTCTTTCGCCTGACCAGAAGAACTTGAAGGGACTATTTCATTTCGGACCCCCTGGTCAAATGATCTGCTCGACTGCAAAGGAGAACGATCTTTTTCAGAGATGCACCCTGATGAATTCACATTACGTTTCTTGTCTCATTATTATTTCAATATCATCCATCATTGAGGAAGGAAACACGTGTTTTATAGCAACCCTTTAAGACGCAGCACTTAAAAATCTGACTTAACAGAATAATTCCAACTAATAAAAACCGAACACGGAATCGCACTGTCCTGTTCCCTCGGAAACACAAGCGGCACTTCAATATATCAAAGCAGCTACCGCCTCCTGCCTTCTGACTCCTCTTTCTGCAGCCAAGAAGAGCTGCTTCATGAGCAAGGACTCCCTCCAAATGTCACTCTCTCTCAAGAGAAACAGAATGCTAGAAAGTACGTTGTCTTGCACAAGCTGGGAAAAAAAAAAAAAAAAAAAAAAAAAAAAACCCAGACGCAGAACCCAATTTGGGGACTCTCGTCTCGGCATTTACTTTGCATCCTTCGCTCTTCTTATGTAGCTCACTAAAGAGTGATGTCACCGCTGCCATCGATGTTCAGCGCTAAGGTCAACCTCGGAAGAGGAGAACGTAGCACGCAACATTTGCAGAACAATTTAATCTATTCCTCACATGTGGGCATTAGTGTTTCATATGCAGCCGTCAGCCTGCTGCGTCAGCTACGGACGAATACACCCGTCTCGTGGAATTGGAAGAAAACGCGTGGCAGACCCTCGGCGAGATGCGCTGTGCTTGCAATACTGCCAGTGACGCAGCATTTTTCCAGCTGCAAGGGAAGTGATCTCTGTTCCGTAGCAGCACGGAAGCGACCGTTCAGCTGGCTGGGGGAAGGGAGGACAGGGAATGGGAAGACACCGACTTACGCTCTCCTTCGAAGCAAGAGGACAAATCCCTCTACTCAGCAGGCCCTTCGGGGCACGATGAGAACAGCAGCGATGGGATTCCTCTCAGCTTCTCTCTTTCCCGGTTCGACAGGCATGGCCGCAGAGATGCCGGGAGCAAGAAAGGCGGGGATGGGAAGAAGGGAGGAGGCAAACAACAAAACAACAAAAAGGGGGACTCTATGACATGCAGCATGCTCCTAATAGCTTCGGTTCTGGCAACGATGATGACGGTTATTCCTTTTCCAGCTGAAACAGAACCTCCTGGGAAACCGGGCATCGAAAAAGCATCCTCCCCTGTTGGCCACCTCCCTCAGCCAGAACCCAGACGTATTCCACGGGCAGCGTTTCAAAGCCAGCAAAGCCAGCCACGGCAGCTTCCATCGCAACAGGGCACGATATCCCAAGCGAAGCACCTCGGCGCTGCGGATCTCGCTTCTTCTCGGTCGCTGCGCTGCATCAGCCAGAGCCGCTGACGACGCCAGGCAGCAAGACGGCACCGACGGGAAGATCTCCCTCCACAGGTTCTCCTCTTGTTACGGACAGTAACGGACCAGGGTGCAGAATGTCAGCTGGGAGCTGAAGAAGCGCTATTCAATCGTTTCACAAAGGAAAGGAGGAATAAAGGCTCTCGTAGACATCTCCTTTTCAATTACCAAGGCCGTGGTAATTGAAAAAAAAAAAAGCACAAGAGAAGAGGTCCAGGGGTGCGACGGGCCTCCCACAACGTCTTCAACCAGGAAGAAAGATGCTGGCTTTCAGCTGACTGTCAGTTGCAATTACTCGCTGACGGTACAGCCCCGTGACTGCTGCCGGTCCCTCTTACCACACGGCTACGAGCATCTGCTCGTGGAAACAAACCGTCAAGCAGAAGTAGGAGGGAGCTTGGCTCGGAACGACGTGCCTGGCAGCAGCCAAGCGCTCTGCGTTCGGAAGCGACCAGCGGTTCGAACCGCAAACGGCACAGCCGGCTGTTTCTGTAACGCTCCGTCAGCGCGACCCCGCGAGCGGAGCGAAGAATCGCAGAGTCGTTACGGGCGGGAGGGACCCCGACGCTCACCCCGCCCGCCCGCCCGCCCGCCGACCGCCGCCGCAGCCCGCCGGCCCACGTCCCTCGGAACCGCCCGGCCGGTGACCGCGCGCAGCGCAGCGCTCCGCTCCCCGACGGACGCGCTGGGCTTGTGCCGGCGGCGGCCCGCCCCGCCGCGGCACGGCGCCGCGCGCTGCCCGCTACCTTGATGCGCTCCCCGTCGATGGTGACGGCGCGCTCGCGGAAGTCCACGCCGATGGTGGCCTCGGTGCGCTGCGGGAAACGGCCGGCGCAGAAGCGGTAGGTGAGGCACGTCTTGCCCACGTTGGAGTCGCCGATGACGATGATCTTGAAGATGCGGGAGCGCGCGGGGGGCAGCCCGCCGCCCGGCACCGTGCCGCTGCCCGTGAAGCTCAGCTCCAGGGAAGACTCCAGCTCGGCCGCCATCGCCGCCGCCTCGCGCCCGCCCCGCGGGCCCGTGCGGACCGCCTCGGGGAACGGAGCGCCCGGCCCTCCCCTCGCGGCGCGTCACGGCGCCGCGCTCCGCCCGCCCGGGCGCGTCTCGCGAGAGCTGCGCGGAGCGGGGTCGCCGCTCGGCCCTGCGGCGGGGTGCCCCGCGGGGGGGGTGGCGCCCCGGGCCCGCAGGCGCTCGGGGCCGGGCGGGGTGCGGCTACGAGCGGCGCGCTCGGAAGGGAGCCGTCCCTGCCTACGGCACGTGGGGTGGGAAGGGAATGGGCCGTTCCGAGCCAATCCGTTCTGTAGTTCTGTGCTGCTGACCCTCCGAATGACTGTCGTTTTAAACATCCCTATAAATATATACACGCAGAAACATTTCTGCGGAGATGCCGTACCGCTTGCCTCTAAATGCCACAAAGTTTCTATATTTACCGGCGTTGACTGTGGCCTCCAATAAATCAGTCCCGGGCAGCAAGTAATCCCACCTGCACCGTGTTCTGCCGACCGTGGCTGCGCATGTGTGAGATCCACATTGGAGACCTCGATCCCCACCGCTTTGTTTGATGCGAGAACACGTTGTGCATTTTATTTTCAGCAGGTTTTGCTTTGATAGTACGGGCTCAGAGGGTGATGCTGTTAGTTATTGCTGCGGGAAAAAGTTTTTCATCTTTACTGTTACCAAGGACGTAGTCCCGCTCCCCTTGAAATTAATACCTTGAATAAAAAGTCCCCCCGGTGAGCAAAGCTTTTTTTCTTGGAAAAAGTCTATTGATGCCAACAGGTAAAAGACCTCTTCAAGGTGCCAGCCATACCGCTCAGCATTGCAAGGCTACCGATGAAAGGTTATCAGAAGGAAAAACTACACTACACTTGCACTCGAAACCACTTTGATACACTGACAGAAATAACGACAAAAACAAATAATAGTAATGTAGGCGCGTATGGGAACGGCTGCGTCAGGGCCTGAACCTCTCATTGATCACTTGAAGCGAGCACAGAATCAGCCACGGGAGCACAGGTGAAGGCAATTCAGCTGTGCTGCTGGAAGGGGTGGAGCCTGGCTGCACCTCTCCCAGACCCATTTAAGAGCTGGCTACGGGGAGGGAAGGTTTTCTTTCTGGAGGTCCCTCCTTTGCAGTTTTACGATGAGCCTGGGATGTAGGTAAGCACTCAATCTATTCTCTTTTGCTATAGTAACTTGCTTAGCCAAACTCTCTTGTATATTTCATAATTATAACATCTGTGTATTCACTGATTATGTAATATGGAAAAAGCAGACAATAAAAACAAATGGAGGCCATGCAGCTGATGATGCGGTTAACGGTAAAGAGACTGAAGTTCTATTTTCCCTCTGGCTTATTAAGTTGCTCCTTACGCTACCAAATTTTCAGGCTTCTCGCTGGGTACGCGGTTCCCATCTTCCCATACGCATTTATTCCGGCAGTCTCGGTCTGTCTTTTCCCGTTCCTCAAAATTCAGCAGCGGCCTGTGTCTTGAGATGAATGATTCAGCACCACGTGCGGAGTGCTGTGCTTCCTCGCTTTTAACAGATCTGAAGCGCGAGGGTTTTTCTCCACCGTCCCCTTCTCTTCTCTTCCAGGGTTTTGAGGAAGGGTGAATTTAGATTAGCTCACGCTATTCGCACGGTATGCGTGCATTTTGTACCTGTCAATAATTTATTGAAGGCAGAACGTGGCAGGAGCTAAAAATCTTGTTCTCTCTATCCCAACTTGCCTTCTGTATTTCAGTTCAGAGTTTTGCGGAACTGAGAAGTGACGAAAAGGCAGGGACCTGGCCCTTTGTGTTGGAACTGTTGCGCAAATTAGATGGCAGACGTGGGAGGGGGCTCGCAGGACGGCCTATGCTGCTACTCTACTATGCAGAGCAGTTTTGGCAAAAAAATCTGGAAGTGAAGGCAGTAACCAGCCTCTGCTATGATAGAAAGACAGTCCTGAAAGACTGAATGGAAGGATTTGTGGTCATCGGGGTGCAAAAGTGCAAATTAGAAGTGCAAACGAGGCTACTCTGCAACAAAGCTAAGACTGCTTTCTAAGCTCTACGGCTAACAATTTTCCAGTCCTACTTCATACAGATACCATAAGTGAAGCAAGATGCAGAATGATAAAGGTTATTTGATTCCTCTAAGGAAAAAAACGGCTTGAAAAGCATGATGTGAAGCACCACAGCTCAACGCACCACAGCAGTGCCAGTCTTTGCTTACAAATTAATCAGCAACTCCTCTTGCTCTCTCCCAAATAAAAGGCGTTTACATAACCCTTGCATAACCTGCAGGGCAGAACAACACAGCAGCTGCCTCCGGTTCAGAAGCAGACAGCAGAATTCAGAGCGGTACGGCTCATTGCTTGGTCTGCAAACCAGCGAACCACCTCTCCTTCCCTTCCTTCACGATGGTACAGCAATTGCAGAAGTCATGCGTCTCCACCAGGGTGTTACTTATCTGTTTCTTTTCTTTGTGCTTAGTCTCTTCAGTGTTTTCAGGGAGAGTGAAAGCAGACAGGTTTTGTCATCTGCTGCTGCTCGTGACCCGCGCAAGGTTCTGCAAGCGTAACAGCGAAGTGGGAGAAACGTCCTTTGTACTTGATGGAATAGAAAGGTACCGATGAAGAGTCATACCTGATCGTTGTGTTAAATATATACTTACACTTGTATTTAAGTGTACTTGTATGAACGGCCATGCTAGTTCGCCTCCTCATATCTGCTGTGCTTTTGGTCTGTGGCAGACCAGTCACAAGGCGCCGTTCCATCGATAGAAGTTTGAAAGCTTTAAGTTCAAGGAAGGCAGCAACCGGGAGCAAATGCCCCCCTCCACCTCTAAAAGAGAAAATAAATTACTGAGGACGTGAATAAAGAAAGGATGCTGTTTTATACCAGGGCGTTATCCACTAAAATCCACTTTCGCTGCAATGAACTCCTGTTTCAGACTCGAAGGTATCAATAAAAAGTTATTTCTGTAATTACTTCAATATTTACATATCTTAAAAAAAAAATAAAAATAAAAAAAGCTGTAACTTTTTTTACTCATCACTGCCACAGTATTTAGTCCGCTGACTGAGTCTGCAAGAGTTTGAAATGCCCTGGGTGAATAAAGCTTTGTGGACTTTTGGATGGGGAAGAGAAGGCTGCTGAACTTTTCCACCCTCCCTTTGATCTGGACCTGAGAAAAACAGCAGATGATTCCCTCTCAAACTGTGGGTTTTTTTTTTTTGTTTTTTTTTTTTAAATTTAAATCCTTCAATAAAAGCATCGCTCAAATCCCCACCTGGAGTCTTTTGTAGCCTAGAACACTGACTGAGGGCCTTTTTCCATATGCATATAGATGCAGCTTTTAGGGAAAGACTTAGTGACATCTCCCCGCCGATGCTGTCCTTTTCTGTTCTTACTCCCAAGGTAGTCACATCTTTTCCCCTACCGGCCTTCCTCCATTTTAGGAGACACCCCCACGCTTGCAACCTATCAGCACGAAGGGGCTGCCTGCGTCACAGCCAGCTGACAATGAAGGCAACTCCAAACGACTGCTGTCCTCCCAGGGATCGTTTGCTACAAGGCTGCTGGGTATGGGAGCGGGACGCTGAACCCTACAAGGAAACGCTGGCACACGTTTACAAACAGAACTCAGCATTTTTATTCGTTGATTGACTTCCTGCCAGTTTTTGTTGCTTTTTTTTTTCTTTAATATCTGCTATCGCCAGAGAAGAGCATAAAAACACAGTACAACATTATCGACCGGTTAGGAAGGCTGGAAGGGAAAGCAGATCCCAGTACATTGGCGAGTAACTCGGCAGAGTTGATAACTTAAGATTTTTGAATGGATCAGCAATGAAGCAATGAATATGCTGCCACACTGAACCAACAAGAGGACTTTTGCTAAATTTGTGATTTATTGCATTACATTTTATAACTGAACGTATCCATCATCATACATTTGATCACCCACAAGGCAAATGACACTTTTTCATAGGTTATGTGCTAAATGGCTAAAGTTATGCAGTAGCTGAACCGGGCTAGAACTAGTAGAGGTAGATACTGAATGGGCAGTGCCAGGCAGAAATATTTTGTCCCAGTACTTTTTACCTTTTGTTACGAACAATTAGCAGATGCAACACTTTCAATTAAAACAACAAACATCTTAGGGAAGCTACTCTAAGATGCTTTGAATTCGCTAGTGATGTTTACCTCGACATACTTCGTTGTTATGGTCCCTCGTAAATTGGACAACCTTCAAGCTCTGGGTTTTCTGCCGCGATTTACCTGGAGACCGATGCGCAAAGCTGGAATCTTTGTGAACGTGCTACTCTTGGCTTGAACCGCTCTAGAAGTAATACACACATAACAGCTTCCAGGACACAGGAGACTGCATTTATATTATTTACAGTTTCAGTAATCGTTCTAGCAACAAAAAAACAAACCAAACCCTACTTTGATGCTTAATCTAAACCAGAATTTCTATTACGCTGCCTCCTCGTAACTCCCTTCAGTCTCCTTTTGCCAAGATGCCGTATCAGCTACTCTTGGCCGTTCTCATTGCTGGCTGTGTGCTCCGACAAAGTCTCTGCCCCGAAACAGGCTTTGAAACTGGCACGTGCAGCTTACATTTCCAGGAAGTATCTCCTTCCACCACCAGAGCGGTTCCTACCCAGAACGTTCCTGGAAGCAACGGTCTTTCCCAGCCTCAGCAACCGTCTTCTTCCGCCTGGAACAGCGCCCGCTGCTAGCACGCTCACGGGCCGTTCCGTTCCTCCCCGACACTGCCATCTAATTAGACTACATCTGCATCACGTTCCTCCGCAGCATCCCAGAGCAGCGGGTCAGGCTGTACTCCGTTACCAGACGAGCCCAACTTTTACTTCCATACGATAGGAGCTATTGTAGGTGATCCATCATGTACGCACCCCGTTTTTAGAGCAAACTTCCAAGAGGGGGAAGACGGGGAAATGATTTCGAAGCTAGCTAGCTGCTAGCACAAAACACTTACAAAACATTTAAAGCGATCGCAAAAAGGGGAACAAGTATTTTTTACTCAGGTCTACTGAGCTGCATTACCCTATCAGATGTTGTAGCACGAGTGACGAATGTCTGAAGTGCAGCTGTGGCATGTGGGGTGCTAGCGCTACGCGAACGATGGCACCGCTGCTCAAGCCCTCAAAGGCGTAACCTAAGACCGAGTCCTTCCATTTGGTACGCAGGAACTTTCTCACGTGGCGGCGAGATCGCGTCTGCGCCGCGAGTTTCCCGCGTCCGATCTCACCCTACTCTCGCTGGTGTTTCCCTTCGGGATATAAAAACAACTACGAAAAGGTGTTACACCAACTTTCAGGGGCTGATGTACAGCTGAGCACCTCCAAACCTGTAAGAACAAACCGAACGCTAACAGAAGATCTGTTAGGCTAACGACACGCGCCTCATCAAACGCTCCAGAAAGATGGACTAGGCTAACATTGTCTCCCTCATCTAGCCCTGCCGATCTTCCCGAGAACCTCAGAACCTTCTCCTTACGCTAGGGAAACAACCGAGTGAGACTTCATTCGGTACTGACACCGGGAACGTCCTCTCCCTGCAGTCACGCTAGCATTAAGACCTCGTCCAAAAAGTGTAACCATAGGAGATGCGGAGGCTTTTAAGGCGTTGTAAACGCAAAGGTGTGACATTGGTTACGGAGTAGCTCCTTCCAAGAACGTTTCATCTGTTCGTACACGCCTACCGTCCCGATGTGCCTGAACGCTCTGCTCTCCCTACTATCTTAGCGCCTCTTTTACTTACGTACATTCTGAGTCCATTTCCCGTTGATTTATGCAACATGCGTGAACCCAAGCTGCAGTTTTGTCTAAGGAAAATGTATGGTTCGAGTCCCAGCCCTGCTACCCCTCCCCTCCACCCCCCGAAGAAAACCAACCCCAACACCAAGGACCAAAAACCGATATCCACGTCATGCGACGTCAGCCGTGGCTCCACTAACGGCAAAAGGATGTCGCTTCAGGGGAAGCTGTGAAATACTAAACCAGAATTTGCCGCTAATAAGCTGTTCTAGATGGCTCTGACTGCAACTGCAGCTGCTGCTCATCCGCCTTGGCAGCTGAACACCGGCGTCTGCCATTTATCTCCGTACGGAAAGGGAAGTTTTCACTGCAGCACGACGCTGTGCTGCTACTTCACAAAAGATGCGCTCCGGCGGGTTATAACTGTGTCTCCAACTCTTATAAGCACCTCCCTGGCCATCAACCGCACACTTGAGAAGTGCGGAGATGAAGTGATAAGAATTCCTACGCCAATTAAAATAACCTTCTAGGTCAGGAAAACTCTCTACTTCCTTGCCCGAATCTCCGCTCTTCCGGAAGGGAACGAGGAACTGATCCGAAAGCATCCCTTCTGAAGCGCAACGGACGCCTTTGGAAGTCTCGGGGGGAATCGGAACGGATATGTAGATGAGGTTTCTGGAAGGCCCGTACAATTATCCTTTGCCGCTTGCATCATGAAGGATAACGATCCTGCTTTGAGTTCATCTATTTTGATGCAAAAACAGGTGCGGAACAAGTAAAGCACACGATCCCGTTTATAAGCGGCATCCAAACCGCATTTGGAAAAAAGAAAATCGCTCGATGCTAGTCACGAACCGTTTAAAAAAGTGAGCATTTATCTGCCTCCAGCTAAGCGTCAGAAGCCAAGAGAACAGCAGCCATACTCGTAGGGAAGGCAAGGCCAAGAGCTCGTAGCTCGCGTAGGCAAGATTGAACCTTCTTCGGTGCTTGCAGAAGACATGCAGTCCGAGTATCTCAGGCCACAGAAAAGACCGAGATCTAGACGTTAAAGAGCAATTGGAGGCTCTACAGGCATTCTAGACCTCTGAAGCCCGGCGTATTAAATAGACAAATACAGCAATACAACATATATTTCCAACGTGAACTACGCCACAAACATACGAGAGGATCATCTAACCGAGAAAAGAAAGGGTTGCCGAACGCGCAAGCAAAAACTGACGCAACTACAAACCTCAGGAAACCTTCCCAGATTTCTGACCTGTACCATCGATCGCCGACAATCTGTTACGTGGTAGAGGAAGGCTGCGTATCCACACGACGGATACTCTCTGACCGAACTCCTGCAGCAAAGAAGGCACTCGCTTTGTAAGCTGTAGTTTATTTTCTGCTCTGCTTTAGGATAAACCTATTAAAAAAACAACATTCGGGGACGTATCTATAATATTAACACAGTAGACTCGCTGAACATAGCTCGACTCGGAAAATAATCTTCCACGGAAAACCGGTGGAACGAAAAAGCCAAGCGCAAAAGCATTCTGCGTTATAGGACTAGCCAGACATTCAGTATTGACGTAATTCGTTTGCGCTTTATACTCGACATCCGCCCATCGGCAGTAACGCGATCAGCGTAACCCGACAGCGTAGTAAGCCGACCCTGAGCTGCGCTCCTGGGAACCCGTTCGTTTTCAAAGTACAACAGAGATTGGTTTAAATATTCACACAAGTGTTTTTCAAAACGTTTTATTGCATCGTATTTGGTACCTTATGTTTGACAAAGGAAATTACATCTGTAACTGCAGGAATAAGAAGCTGGTCTGTTATTGAAAAAAAATCTTGGGCCCCTTAAAAGTTACAAAGTCTCGGGCTTGCCTGAAACAACTGAGCAAGAAATATATTCTTAGAAATGTAGGGCTTCAAGTATTACAAACCTGTGACACTGTGGAAAAGTTCCAGAGGTATCTAAACTGCAGCACTTTTTTTTTTTCTGCATAACGTGAACAAGGCCTGCTGAGGTTTTAAACTATTAGTCTCTTGATCGCTCGAAACGGTAGTCGGGAGTTCTCCTCTTGGCAACGTCAAGCCATAGTATGTTCTCATTTTGCTTTCGCTCTACGTGAAAAACGCGTGCTATCTTTCCTAATTAGTTGGTGCCACATCACAGTGCGTAATTTTATTTGGTTCTTGCATTACAGCTTTAACGAGCTCAGCCGACCTATTCGGACAGGCGCATCTCCTAACCAGCGACGTCATTTCTTCTCCCCGCCCCGCCTCCCCTCTTTCATTCAGAGAAATCGTTTCAACGGGTTCCCTGGGTTCCCCCGGTTAAAAACTGTGGTGCAAGAACACCAAACTGATCGTGTACAGTGAATTTCAGAGACGCAACGAGCTTATTGAACACACTACGTTTCTTAATTTGGCTTGGTATCCATATGTCCCAGCATCCGCAACGTACCGCGGATGTTGCGGGTTTCGCTCTGTTTATTCTGATTTCACATTGCATACTTC